AGCAGGAATTAACCCAGCAAAGGCAGGAGAGCACTTTCGGAAGTTTGCTGTCACATTTGGATGCGTCAGCCCTGCACGATGCCGCGATGCTTCGCTCTTGCCGTTCAGAAGCAACGGGACAGGAGTCCCCGGGACCTTGCACGGCAGCCCTCGGTCTGGCAAACTCCTCCTCCACAGCTCCATCAGGCTGAGCAGCCCAAGGCAGGAAACCAGCTGTAATACTCCAGAAGAAAACAGGGGACCCCCCAATCCGAAGTCATTCTCCTTCTCGTGCACCACGGTGTTGAAAAGCAGTTTGCACACTGAGTGGGTTTTCGCCCCTAGATACAACTTGCTACAGAAGGGAATTAGCAATTGATATAAAAGGGACAAATTAACAGAGACATGCTGCTGGCGAGAAATTCCTCCTTCTGTTTTTCCTTCGCAGGAACAAGAGGATGATCCCTGGTTAGGAGAACCCCAGCACTGGAAGGAAAGGACAAGGTCAGCTTCACAGCCACAGCCATCTGGGAGAGCAGTGGGCCACCCAACGCCCAAGCTGTCCACACACAGAGGAATCTAATTGAGCACAAGAAGTCAATGATCAAGAGGCTGCATTAGACAGGAGGAAAGTTCTACTAATTCCAAGCAAAAATAGCACTGTCAAGTTTGCCATCTTCTGGAATGGGTGATTAAGGTACCTGTCTTTTTTCGGAGATAAAGCTGCAAATAAGAACACCAGAAACATTCTTTTCATCTCTGCTCCCTTCATTTCCCCTTTCATATGCGTTAGCTTTGTTTCATCTCCGAGAGAGCACATCAGACTGTTTTTCCTCTTCTCCCTTTTGCTGATCAGCTAACTCCACCTTTTTTAACATCTAGCGGATCAATTGTCCCCATTTTCTTCTCAGAATGCTAAAGGAAGGGGACAACAGGAAAAAGACACATTAAAATATAAGCCTCACCTAATATTTTGCCTTCAAAGGCCTTCTCTTTTTCTGCCTGTAATGCTGTGGAAGTCCCACAGCTGGTTTAACACTGGCTGCTTATACACGAGTGTTTTAATCCAGCTCGGGGGTGTGCTTCTCACGGTGCTTTGGATTGAAGCAAATCCAAAGCAAATGCCCAAAACCCATGTAACGAGGCCATCAGATGCTAAACACACCCCTAGTCTGCCCTAAAGATCGGCTCCTACTGTGCCATTTTACTTGCCAGCGCAGACACAGTCGGTGCGTAGCATTACGCAGCGCTCTTCTTTTTTAAAGGAATAAGATGTATTTGGAGTTAGGAATTTAAAAAAAGACAGCACACCAGGGCTTTGCGACAGGAGTGGTTTAAAAAGGCAGCACACGAGTGCTCTGTGACAGGGCGGATTTTAGTACCTGTGACAGGATGGTGCTGCCTGCTACAACTTCTTCTCCCATCTCTTACCCACTGAAACCAGTTGGTTGCCTCCCCTTCGGTATGGCTCTTGCTTGGCTGACCCGCTGGGGACTTGATTTGGGATAAGTCATCCCCCTGTGGGTGACCGCAGGGAGAATTTCACCGAGCCTAAAAATCTTCAGGATGCAGAGAGCAGGAGGGAGCAGAGGGTGTAAGAAACAATCGTGAGAGGCAGAAGAGAAGGAGGTAAGACCACTTGCAAGCAAAGCAGCTGGTTTCTGCCACCTGTTCAGTAGGAACGTGTTGCCTTCTGCAGGTCACCGCTCTGCCTGTAGATGAAGGGAACATTTCACACCCCCCCCAATCCCCCAGTGCTTTTCCTGGCAGGTCTGGGCAGATCAGCAGGGTCAGTTCTGGCTTGGGGCTGTGAGCGGTATGTTGGCCCCCCTCCATATTATGCAGCAGAACGTGCCAGGTAGCTTGCAGGCCACCAAGCAACAGTATGGCCAGAAACACATCGTGATATGGGGTC